GAAGGAAGGAAGGAAGGAAGGAAGGAAGGAAGGAAGGAAGGAAAAGAAAGACAGAAACTAGCACTGGGAAGTTATCAGAACATCTGACGACTATAGTTCTCAGGAACACAGCTCTTCCAGATTCATTCCAGAACATTCTAAGCCTGACAAGGTCATCAGAATAATTAAAAGCCACTTCCCTTCCCACTCAGCCACACCAACCAAAAGGGAACAAATGCATTCCTATCAATAGCATCACCAGAGTACCCACTGGATGACGGGTCCTGGGCTTCACGAGGGATGTGACTGCCACCCAAAGAAGCAGCTCAAGTCACTTGCCCAGGTCCCACTCCCAGAGACTGACCGGCTCAGATCTTAACCCGGCAGGTGAATTCCAGGGCTGAGGGTCGACACTGCTATTTTCTCAGACCTTCGCCCACCTTCCTGCCCACTCACTACTCCCTCCTCTCTTTATAACATAAACTCCTCTGCCTTTGTGTTCAAATTCTGATTGTTCCCACAGAGCTGTTAGACCAGGATTGCTGACAAATCCGCACACTTGCTTTATTCACATGCAACAAGAAACATGAAAGAGGTAAATGGCATCTAAGCCAAAAGAGAAAGAATAGGCTAAAATGAAAGCTAGACAAACAGGTCATCATCACAGCAGGCAGTGGAGCTGGCCCCATTGTCCGAGTGCCTGCAGTCTCAGGCCGGCGGCTCCCGTCCACCATGGAGCCCGACCCTGCGGGCCCCACTTCCCCAGGCAGCACAGCCATCCACGAAGGCTGGCTTCACATGACCGGCAGTCGGTGGCCCGGCCAGGCCTTGTCGCCACAGGTGGAGCAGCTGCTGCACCATCAGTGCTCGCAGTACCGAGACATCCTTGTCTTCCGCAGTAAGATCTACGGCAATGTGCTTGTGTTGGATGGCGTCATCCAGTGCACCGAGAGGGATGAGTTCTCCTATCAGGAGACGACTGCCAACCTGACCCTCTGCTGCCACCCCAGTCCTTCCAAGGTGCTGATCATTGGGGGTGGGCATGGATGCATCCTGCAGGAAATCATGAAACAGTGGAGGCCGTGTGCGGTCCAGAGTGAAAGCGATGAGGATGTTATCCAAGTCTCTAAGAAGTTTCTTCCAGGCATGGTGGTGGGCTACTCCAGCTCAAAGCTGACCCTCCATGTAGGTGATGGTTTTGAATTCATGAAGCAGAACCAGGATGCCTCTGATGTTATCATCACGGACTCCTCAGACCCCAGGGGCCCCACAGGGAGCCTCCTTAAAGAATCCTACTAGCAGCTCAGAAAGACAGCCCTCAAGGAGGATGGCATTCTCTGCTGCCAGGGGGAGTGCCAGTGGCTGCACCTGGACCTCACCATAGAGATGCAGCAGTTCTGCAAATCCCTCTTCCCCGTGGTGGTCTACGCCTATGGCACCAGCCCCACCTACCCCAGCGGCCAGATGGGCTTCATGCTGTGCAGCAAGAACCTGAGCAGCAACTGACACTGACGCAGGCGCAGCAGAGGCAGCTCTAGTACTACAGCTTGCAGCAGAGGCAGCTCTAGTACGCCAGCTCAGATCAGGCGGCCTTCGTGCTGCCAGAGTTTGCCCTCAAGGCCCTGAATGATGCTAGCTGAGCATGGAGCTGCTGTTGCCACCACCACCCAGAAACTTCGGACCAGGGTGCCCGGGCCCCCCAGTCCCACACAGGACCCTCTGCGGGCTCTCATTGACCAAGTATGTTTTACTGGCTCCAGAATGCTGCCCCACTGGGCAGACTGTGTCTTTCTCTGTGCGGCACCCAGGCACCAAGCCTATATCAGCTCTGCACAGCGCCTTCTCTGCCTTCTGTCGCCCCTCACTCACCAAACATGTGTATTTATAACAAAACAAACAAACCCAAACAGGTCATTGTAAAGTCTTTTTTTTCTTTAAAAGCATTATCTTCTAAAATGAAAATTACCAAATCAAGAAGCCTTCACTTTTGCTTTTCAATTGCTTCAAAATAATAAGGGGAAAGAGTAATACTAGTCCTACAGGGGGTACTTTTGAACTAATGAAATGACATCAAAGAAAATTGGTTTCCAACTCAATTAAAGGAAACTTTGAGTATTGGTTTGCTTGTCTTAGCATTTTTAAATCACTGTCTGCCTAGGATTGATGGTCATATTATATTTCATTTGGCCTGTGTTGGTGTTTGAATGAAAATTTAATAAGCTACCAACATTTAAAGAACTGGGAGGGATTTGGCATTTGAAAAATCTGGATTGAAGCCCTGTTTTGAAGAGGATTCAGCTAATGCCAGGTACTTTTGTCCTTGTAGGTATGTAAGTCCAAGGGTTGGGCAAGGCAATTTCTTGTTTGACATGATCCCACCATTCCATACCGCCTCATACTGTATGTTATAATTTATATAAAACAAATATTTGGAAACCAAAAGTAGTGGATTCCAGGGACAGAAGGAAGGGAGGAGGAGAAAGTGTCTGCCTAGAATGTACTATGTATGTTAACGGTGGTAAAACATCGCCTTTCTTCATGATTATGTAGGCAAAGTTCACAGAGGCACATGAGTTCTTGGTATCTTTTCAAACAGTTCTTGGCAGAGAGGCAGTAGCGTTCGGTCTCCTAGCATCATACCTGTTTCAGGTAAAAATCTCATTCCCTGTCCTGTGTCTCAACAAGTCCAGGGAGGATCCCAGTACCTTCGCTCTTCATCCATCGTCCCGTCCCCAATGCCATTAAACCTGCCACTCACCTGCTACTCCGTTCCGCTCCGTTCTCTCTTCACAGGGGTCACTGGCACCTCCCCATTGACGGTTTCAATCCCACCAACAGACAGCAAGCTCCGCCGCTCCTTCGGATTTGACTTGTGTTCCACTTTTGTGACCCTAAATCTGAGGAACAAAGAGAAGAGAGGTCTCATAGGCTTGGTCTTCCTAGGATTTCTGACAGTTAAAAACAATCACCACAAGGGTCCCAAACGAAATCAACAAAAAACTGTAAAAAGAACTCCCGGGGAGCTCTGGTGGCCTAGTGGCAAGAAGCTGCACTGCAATCCCAGAGATAAGAGGTTCGAATCCACCAGATGCTCTGCCGGAGAAGGAGAGGCCATCTCCTCCTGTACCAGTCAGATCCGATTTGATGGTACACAGACACACAAAATAATAAAATTTAAAAAACAAACAAACAAAACCCTCCCATGTTAGAGAACAATTCCCACCCAGGAAGCCTGTTGTCCTTGATGAATTTGCAGCTCATCTGTTGCCCAACCACAACATAGACCGACTCTGTGAGTATTTTATAGATTGTGCAAAACGCATAAAAGCACACATGTACTCAAACATTACAATAATCAAGAGTTGTGGTTTCTTATAAGGATGTAGGCCTTAGCCTCATTTTAATCACACAACGCTGAGCAGAAGACAGGTTTGCAAATTAAATTGATGTAATCAAATGTGCCCCAGAGAACTACCTTATGCAAAGGGCCACCTGTTTCAACACACAGGCCCAGAGCAGCCCCTCCCTACTCATCTATCATTATTAGTAGTTCGTGGAGTGTTTGGGCTGCTTTTTGCTTTTTAAAGGGGAAGTGGGGGTGTGCGCACACATGGGTGCCTGTCTGTCTGATAAAGGTAAATGTGGTTTGGTTGTTTCCCTTAGTTTTTCTTTCTTTCTTTCTTT